GCGAGAAATTAACCATGTTGCTATGCAGTTTATATGGATCAAATCTAATTACCAATAAGAGTCTCCTGAGCTTAGTTCATTTCAGGGACATGTGTGCATACCAAAGAGAAACATTATGGATTACAGCAGGGGTCTCCAAACTTGGCAGATTTAAGACTTGTGGACTTAAGTTGAAGTCCAGAAGTCTTAAAGTTTCCAAGTTTGGAGAGCCCTGGAAGTGGTTTGTCTTCTGGTTTGTTTGTTTTTCCAAATTCCAGTCTATTGTATAACCCAGACATTTCCTTGTATTCTCTCACCAAAGCACTTTCCAGACCTTGACCATTGCTTAGCTTTTGGAAAGTAGAGAAACTGATTTGGTTACCTATTTTTTTTATTATGGTACCCATTCTATAGCAGAAACACATTTTTAAATGCTACGTTGCAATGCAACTATTATTGATTGGATGAAACAGGTGGATCTGTTAGAGTTGAATAAGATTAACAGTTTTGGGAGAAGTTTTTTAGACTGTTGTCATTCTCTTTGCCATTCAAGTGTCTAACCTGAGACTATAATTGCAGAATAAATTATCGTGCAGATTTCATTTCACAATTTCTCTGCTAAATAATGATTGCCTGTTATCAGTGAAAGGAAGCAGCACATAGAAATAGTGATGTTTGACCTTCCCAGCTTGATGGATTGTTGATATTCCATCAAGTTGGTGTCATGGGGCTACCAGCTATTTCAATAACTAAGGCTGGTTGATACACCTGTTGTCATTAGCTTGGTCTTGATATTTAATCTCAACCCATTTTTTTATGTGCTCCTTGATTTTTATTACAAGAGCTTGCATATCATTTGCATTTTCAGTTATCATGCCCATGTTGCAAAGTTGGGGAGGGTGAAATAAAATCTGTGCTTTGTGAAAACAGGTCAAATTTCCAATTAATGGGTACAGATGTGCAAAACAAATCCTGTGGATGATAAACTAGGACAGTGATGGCGAACCTTTTAGACACCGAGTGCCCAAAAACTGGCCCCGCCCCTGCTCCACCCCACCCCGCCTGCCCGCAGGGCCACTCACCATCTCCAGGGCCCGCCGCAGATCGCCCAGCAGCGCTATGGTGGCCACACCCTCTGCCCATGCCCCGCAGCATCAACTGTGCGCGATCAGGCATGAGGGCAGAGTCTTGTCTACGCTGCCTGGCTGCCATGTCCTTGGCTGTGCTGCTCTGCGTGGGCTACACTCCGGGATGACTCCTCCAGGGGGGCTGCTGGTGAGGGGGTTGTGGGGGGAGGCAAGACTGGGGCAACAGTATGTGTGCCCACAGAGAGGGCTCCGAGTGCCACCTCTGGCACCCATGCCATAAGTTCGCACCACTGATTACTAGGACTTCACATAAAAGGTTCCCCTGCTGTTGAAATTAAAGAGAAGGAATAAGTTATGGGTTCTTCTGCAGAAAGGGGGCAGGAGCAGGGAGTGGGATAGGTGTAAATCAACAACCATCCTTTATAGACAATAATTCCTAGCTCCCATGTTAAAAGGAAAAGAAAATGCTTTTCATTAACGAAGTAGAGAATAAAAGACTTTTGAATTGTGCCAAGGAGAATCTTGAAGCCAGGTGGATGCAAATCATACAACCAGATACACAATGTCCATGAAAGGAATTATTTCTTGAATGTGTTGGTACTTGCCTGCATTAAGTTTAATGAGCAAATCCAGAAAGCTGATCTCCACCCAGAACTAGGAATAGAGATGGTTTTCAATTGCATTCTTTTCTGAATGGATTGTAAAGGAGATGGCTTTGACGCAAGACAAATTAGGTGTGGCAAATCCAATGGAAAGCTACCAAAGTTATTTTAAAAACTTAGCCAACAGTGAAAGCACATATTTTCAAGATGCAGTTCTGGGGCAAATGCTGGGTTGGTGCCACATAGCTTAAAAAACCCTGCCTTTTGCAAAAATTTAACATGCAATTTGGCATATGGTTTACCTGGGAATTGGCCAGACTGCCCTCTTTATATTTGGCTTTGTTCTAAATGTGATTTCCTTTACAACTCTCCCTATTTGGCTTTTGCTGTATAGGTAGAACACTGCTCTACATATTTATCTATAGATTTTAAATTGAATTTCTAGATCAGGGTGTCCATAACCTTGGCAACATTAAGACTTGTGGACTTCAACTCCCAGAATTCCCCAGCCAGCCTGCCAAGGTTGGACACCCCTGATCTAGATTATTCTACAGATTCTAGGTTCTTCTAGATTCTAGTTATAGCTATCTATAACATCTTAAATGAAACCTTTGCCCAAATTATTTCTTAAGCATTTAAATGCTGCTTTGAAAAGGCTAGGTGGCTTTTTGAAATTAAGGATTTCAAACACTTAGCAAATGGCAAATGAAAGCCCTTTGCATGAGTTGAAAAAGGAAGTGTAGAAAATGGGTAATGAACTCCCCAATGAAGGAAGGGATCACATGTTGGGGTTTAGTAGGTTATAATCTGGTCAGGTGGTTTAGGATTCAGCATGGTGGGAGACTTCCAAAACCTTCCTTGTCTTGATCTGTTGTATAAATCAGACCAGTATTAAGTTTGTAACCAGGCATTAAATGTTAAGTGAACACAACCAAAATCTCCCTTTTCAGTCTTACGGTCTCCAAATTCATGCAACACATCAAGCCATATTTTTACCATTATTGCACTGGGATTGTAAACCATGTTTTATGGCTACTCCATCTATGATTTGCTATTACCGGTATGATTTATTAGTAGTTCAACCATAGCAGAAGAGAACATTCAGATGCAGCCACAATTGAAAGCTGATGTCAGGGAAGGATTTTCAACTTGTACCTTAGGGAACAACTGAGTCATGTGTGCATGATTGATGTACCAGCTGCACAGGGTCATCTGAAATCAGGCCGGTCCTAAGAATTGAAGAATATGCCATTTTAGCCATTTTTCTCCTCCTGAAATGCATCTCTGAGTGGCTAGAAAAATCAGTCTACCTAGGAGGCCTCAAAGAATTGGTGTCTGGTGCTGGAGCCTCATATATCTTTGCATGTGAGTTAAAAAAAAACCAATCTGCAATATTTGCCGAGTCACAATAATCCTTGGCTGTCAGCCCAGCTGCAAAGAGTAAGTTGAGAATGCTCTCTGGAACCTATCGTGAGCTTTGTGGAGGAAGATAGAGAAATACATGTTTGTATAATAGGCTATAGATAGACCTAAGTCAAGTTGCCTCCTTGGCTCTTATGCATTCTCTAAACCCAGGATGGCTTATCATGTGTGAATCCAGATAGTTTATAATAGATGAATCCAACCCACATAAGGCAAAATAGCTAGAAGTTAGGAGAAGTGGGCTTGTTTCCCTTCTCAGTGAGGCCGGAGTACACGTAGTCCTGGATTTAGATGATCAAAATTGGGACCAGAATTTCTGTTGCTAAGCAAGGCAGCTGTTAAGTGAGTCACACCCAATTTTACAACTTTAATAATAATAACCCCCTGCTCAGGCAGGAAGCCCTATACCATTTCAGACAAATGGCTGTCCAGTCTCTTCTTAAAAGCTTCCAGTGTTGGAGCATTCACAACTTCTGGAGGCAGGTTGTTCCACTGGTTAATTGTTCTGTCAGGAAGTTTCTCCTTAGTTCTAGGTTGCTTCTCTCCTTGATCAGTTTCCCTCCATTGCTTCTTGTCCTGCCTTCAGACGCTTTGGAGAATAGCTTGACTCCCTCTTCTTTGTGGCAGCCCCTGAGATATTGGAACACTGCTATCATGTCCCCCTCGTCCTTCTCTTCATTAGACTAGACATGCCCAATTCCAGCAACCGTTCCTTATATGCTTTAGCCTCCAGTCCCCTGATCATCTTCGTTGCTCTTCTCTGTACTTTCTAGAGTCTCAACGTCTGTTTTACAATGTGGTGACCAAAACAACTTTAACCACTTTTGCCATGGTTGTTAAGGAAATCACTGCAGTTAAGAGAATTATGTGGTTGTTAAGCAAATATGGCTTCTCCTTGTCGGAAGGCAATGGAAATAATGATCATATGAGCCCAGAATGCTGCAGTCATCTTAAATTCATGCTAGTTGCCAAGTGTCCAGACTTTGATTATATGATCATGGGAATTTTGTGACAGTTTTAGGCATGAGAACCGGCTGTAAGTCACTTATTTCAGTGCCATTGTAACTGCAAACAGTTGCTAAACCGTTGCAAGTCAAGGACTACCTGTAGTCAACTAATTTAGCCTTTATCTCCTTTACTTTCTCCTTTAAGAATAACACTACAAAAATCATATCATCAAGATGCATTGTGGGAAGCATTAGGCTTGGTAACGAGTTCTAACTGTTCCTAATATGGGAGAACTTTATCTACAAATACGATCTCAGTTTATATTTTAGCAATCTAGCTAGGTCCCAAAAATCTTTTCACTATACAGTAGAGTCAGCAGCTGCTATGCATCAGCTGGTTAATTAATGTGTTCCAATGCCAAGCTAATTTACATGGATAATTTATTATACTACGTGGTAATTTACAAGATTGATTTTTTACACTGAAACCTCTACGGGGAAGGAGAGAAAAAGCATGGATGTCATACATAGACCGTTCCCTTGAGGAACCCTTACTTCTTCAAGGATGCCAATATTGAACTTGAAACTGTATTGGGTGAGGTCCAAGCTACATGGAAGTTCAGAAGTAGCCAACTATGACCATGTCTGCATAATATATTTCCCTATGGCTAGCCCAAATAACTAAATCTTCTACTCACTGAATCATTAACTAACCATGTGAATTGTGTTTGCACAATATACTGGTTGAGGTCTGGTGGGTCAACTTGTGGCAGCAGGAATCTAGCCAGTGTCATTAACTTATGGTTGAGTGTGTTGTGTGAACCAAGGTCACAGCTTAGTTAATCATGGATAAGTAAGTTGGTAAAGGCATGCATAGTAGCATGCATAATGCATACATTTATAGGGGTCCTTATATGTCTTCTTGTGAAGTGAAGCCTCACAAAATCTATAAGCTCACTTACTGCGAACAAAAGCTGCATTTATTGATAGACAAACTCAGAAGCAGTCACGTTAGCCCAGAAGACAAAGGATTCCAGGAAGACCAGAGCCCATCACTCTTCATTGCCGTTCATACATCTCCTTAAGAATCTTCATGCTCTCCGCATAGCGCAATTGGTTCTTCTGCGAAGCTTCTTTCCACCTGGAAACAAGCCACAAGCCAAGCATCGCACATGAATTTTTACATTATCCTTTCCACAAATTGTTTCCCACTACACAGACATTCTAGCATGGGACCAATAACTGGATCTCCTGCCTCTGTCCCACATTTTGGCTTTCTGTTACACAAGCCCTACCTTTGTCGGATCTTCTTCCATCTCTCCATGTTCTTGTAGATGAGGGTGGACATTGAAGGGACCGATTCAGAAGTCTAGGAGGGTTTATGGGGGAGAGGAAAAAATAGGCAAGATCACTTATTTGCTATGGGGCTAAGATACTGTATGAATGTCCTAACAAGCATCTTCAATTTAACAACAAGAGCATCTGATACTTTTGCTAGATTTATTGGAAACTTATCTATCTGTGAAACTTGCAATCCTAAATTCCTTTCCAGTTTATTTTACTTAGGTTGATTTAATTGGTGGCACATCTTCAGTTTTTAGCTGCATTTTTAAGTTTATACTTACATTATTCTGACTCATTCAACTTCCTGTTCTCTATTTCCCCGTTTTTTAAAATTAAAACTTCTTATAAGTACCCTTTCCTCACTTGAACTGTGAAAAGTATTCTAAAATAATCGTCTCCTCTAACAACTTGGCACAAAAGCCTACTCTATCCACACAACATAATCAAATCAGTTGAAAATGTAGTGGCTTGATTGGTGGGATTGTTATTCTGATATTGTGTGTGTATACGTGCGTAATGTATTGCATTGTGTGAATCCAAACTGTTTAGTTTATGGCTCAATGCCCTGGGGAAACCCAAAAAAAGGGAGATAATTTAGCAGTTAAATGCACATAGCATGGTATTTAGCAACTATGCTTTTTTTTAAGCTTTGATTTAGGTTTTGGCATGTTGTGTGAATCCAGCCACACAATTAAAAATACATTTCAAATTCAAAATGCTAGTGTCCTCTTAAGAGTAATATCCTGATGCATTCTGCCCTGTATCTTGCTAATAATAAGAGGGGATTCAGATGAGAAAAGGTCACTAAAATACCTGCCATTTGCTATTTTACCATCCTACCTATTTATTCTCACCCCCCTCCCATCCTTAATCAGCATGGTGGTCTGACCGTTTCAGCAGCTACTTTGGTTTCCTCTTCAGATGCTGGTGGGAACGGGATACGCAGGTTAACTGGTTCCCCTGCAGGATTTGTCTGGCAAGGGATAGGTGGTGGAAGTTTGTAGACATCCTGGATCTTCCCATTTAAAACTTCATCACCCTGGAATCATAGAGTTTAAGAGAGAGGAGAGAAAGATGAGTTGAGAACAAAAAAAATGGATTCAACTTTTGTAGACTTAATCAGAAGACTTGTTCTTGAAATATAGTATATAAAGTTGTGTTATCGCATCCATTTTGAATCTAAAATGCTCTAACTTCAAATTCTATCTTCTAAATTTGAAAGTATAGACTTGGCCCAGCTCTCTGAGGCCAACCTAGAAATACTGGTGCTGTAGTGACTATTTCAGAAGTGCTCTATGCCTAAGGCGTAAACATACATGTGTTTCAAACTCAAAAGACTTCTGGAGTAGTCAAAATAGTTGGCAAAGATTGAACAACCCATTCTAAACTGAAACGTCTGCAGCCCTTATTCAGGTATAAACATCTTGATAGGAATAAATAAGATGCTGTGGGTCTAAAAATGGCAATGAGTTGCACTATCAGCCCGAACAGTTAATGATCAAGTTGGTGGGGATATGGCTCTGGGACATCTATCATCTTTGAGGTTTGCATTTGAACATTTGGTTGAACCAGTCTTCAGAATCTAGGGCAAGCCTGTCCATCTTGAAAAACCTGATTTTTCCATTGTAGACAGAGGAGAATGTAAAAATAGATCTGGATCTGAGCCTTGTTTCACTGGAAGAATCCTAGGTTTTGCTCAAACATTGGCTCAGTATTCCACAGCCTGGGAACTCTGGAAGCTATAAACTTAATGAACTTAAAGGTAGTCCTCATTTAGCAACATCAATTGGGACCAACAGCTCAAGTCATTAAGCAAGTGCTAAGTTAAAACCACAACTGTGCTTATGATCTTGCTTCAGCTTTCCTGTGCTTTACAGACCTAAGGTTGTAAATGCAATAGTTGGTCATAAAGTTACTTTTTCATCACTGTCATAACTGCAGATGGTCACTAAACAAGGGCTACCTATACAAGATGCCACATTGGTAAAGAAGGATGTAACGTGTGTGCATAAAACCCCCAGATCAGATCCAGATTTCATTTAGATCACATATTTACTGGTCTGACCTCCTCAATTGTGTGAGTTATGGAGAGAAAGATGTGCAACAGATAAGTCCCCCAAGAAAACGTTGCGGAAAGTGGTAAACTCAGCTATTGTTTTACTGATGATAAGCCTTTCCCACTAGAAGCAGGATTAGGGAATCCTCTTCTGTACCTCTTCATCTTCAAGCAGGGTAGGCAGACGTGGGCTGGGAGATCGTTCCTGTTCCCGCACCATGGGACTATTCCGCATCCAAGCTCGGCAGATGGGATAAAGTGGGGTGTTCTCGGAAAATTGAGCCAGGTCTACACTTCGATCAAACAGCTTGATGATGTAGGTGTCTGCAAGGATAAAGATGCATTAAAAATTAAGAGACAGGTCTTAAATCAGAGCTGGGTGATGCCTTCCTTCCTCCCTCCCTCCCTCCCTCCCTTCTTTCCACAATATAGGAGGAGCCAACAATTTTTGTTTGTTTAGAAAAGCTTTGGAGAGAGATTTATTGGGGAAGTAAGTGCTTAAGACTAGACATTTTGCCTCTGAAGCTTCCTCTCCTCAGAGGAAAAATGGATTGGTCTGTGGTGTATTAAGGAGTAAAAGCTGTGCCTTAAACCTCTCTGTCAGCCCTTTGAGATAGGCCAGGATAGGAAAAGACTCCATAAGACAAACGGGAATTCTACTTTATGGATATAGGCTATATAGTAACAGAGGCTTGAAAACCAGGCAGCATTTCCCCTTTGTTCTCTCTTAGACCAAAGAGAATCAAGATAAGGTCACTTGGAGTTTTGCCAGCTGCTGCATTCCTTCTCCAAGGTCATCTCTGTGCTTCTCTGCATTTGGCCATGATTTTGCTCTTTAAAACACTCCCCAAGAATCCCAGACAACAAACCAACAATTTGAATTTGTTCCCTCCATAGTTCTTTGGGCCAAATGCGATTTACGGCCCCAAAATAGCCTATTTCACCTACGCAAACCTCAACAAGTAGCAAACTCAGTTGTTGTTAGTGCCTGTATGGAAGACCACTTAGGTTAGACTGGGAGATTAAAGGCACTTGCAAACCATTTCTGTAATGCTGCCAAGAACCCCACAGATGCAGTTCCATCCATGGGCACCTTTACCTTTAACAAATTATTTCCACAAGAAAGGAGATGGAAGAGGAAAAGATTCTTAAGCTTTCATTGTTTTGTCTCCTCCAAGCCAACTGATTCAAGTTACAAAGGAAGAGAAGTACCCTCATCTTAGTAAGAAAACTGCATTTCCAATAAACAGGCATTTTCCCTAATGCAGGATTGAGAAACTGCTGTCTCTTCAAACATTGCTGAACTACAGCTCCCAGAATTCCTCTCTACTGGCCATAGGCTGTGAAAGTCCAGCAATATCTGGAGGCCATCTCTGTCAGAAAGACTTAGGAATTTGGGATTCAGAAACAGAAGGTGGGCTGGGATAGGGGAAAAGGAATGTGGTAGAGAGGAGTCGTAACTCAGCGGCAAAACATAAGCTTTGCATCCCTAAGGCCAGCAGTTTAAGTCTCCCCAATATCACTGATATTGGAGATATTGGCTCAAGTCACCAAGGTAGCGCTGGTGTTTTCACTTACTCTGCTTTTGTGGTCCTCCTTCAGTGAGTCCATCGTCCATCTCCTTCCTCTTTTTGCGGCGATGATGGGAGAATCGGGTAGAAGGCCTGAAGACACAAAAGCATTAGAGAGCGATGCAAGTGGCTGGAGAGCTCGCACTGAGCAGAGGAGGCTGTAAGACTTCTGAGGTGTCTTCCAACTCCATTATGATTCATTCCATGGGCTCTGAAGAACCTGATGGAAGGATCTCATAACAAGACACCCAGAATGAATTGAGAAAATACTTGGTTTTTTTTTAATGGAGTCTAGGTAGCTTTTAGTAAAGGTTTAATTGGGATTCCTGCACTGAGCAGGAAGTTGGAGTTAACCGTCCCTTCCTGCGCTAGGATTCTATAACTCTGAACACTGGCAGATGTAGCAAACTATCATATACAATGATTGGAAGCAAAGTCATAGAGCATCCACAAAGTATAGGAATCTGGCAACTTCTCGATTCTATTGCATGCTGGTTTTTTTCTCGATCGAGACAAATCAACTTGGTTCTGAAGAAAAATGCACACCTGGTTTCCCAGATAAGGTTTCCCAGATAAGGTTTCCCAGATAAGTCCAACCTTTTGGCTTATCTGGGCCTTATATAAAATATATAATATAATTAATGAATATAAATGCATATGATAATGTTAAAAGTTTACAATCTTGTGGGGCGACGTTACTAGCTCTCTAAGGCTGCATATGGCCCATGGGCCGTGAGTTGGACACACTTGTTTTAGATATATGATGGAATTTGGATCCCACTGGGAACAGCAAGCATGCTAGGATAATGAGAATTGTGGATCTATCTCAGATCATAGCAATGGCAAAAGTTTAAAGCTATTTTCTGTCCTGCCATAGTTTTGAGCTGGCTTCTTGTCCGCCTACAGATATATCTTAAATCGCGCAAGGGCAATTATACAATAGGCCTTGGGCCTATTTTGCCTCAGCCTATTTATTACTTCATATAGTATAAAACAGGGGTGTCAAACTGCCGGCCCGCGGGCTGGATGCATCACGTGGAAGCTGCGCCCACCCCAGCCGGCAATGGCAAAATACTCCCGTGACGTCGCGAATTTGACATGTCTGGTATAAAACTTCTACATTTTGAATTAACTCAATCGACCTAAAGGGCACAGGAAATGGGCTATTGAGCACCTAAATTGCTCTCCGTTCCTATTGAGAAGAATCACTTTGCGATCAGTTTTTAAAAATCCATCCGCAACAAGTCATTTGTTGGTTTGTTTATTGATTAACAGCATTTCTAGACCACCCAAGTATTCTAGGCTGCAAGGAGCAAAACTTAAAGTCAAGGCAGAAGAAGGTAAGAAAATATAGTTTATTGCAGTGTCTCCAGTCAGTTGCAGCTGAAGGCATGATGAAATTAAAAGAGAGGCTGTTGCTTTTGAGAACTCTGTTCTCAAGAAAAAAACAAAAAGCTCCAGACCTGAATTCCAACTGCTGTGCAAGGAAGTGAGCAGAATGCATTGGCTGCACTCATTCCCACAACTGAAGAAACAAGCCACTCCTTTGGCTTGTCTCTTTGACTGCGAGGACTGCCAAAACAAAACCTGCAGGCCAAGTTCACACCCAGCACTGAAAACAATATGAGAACCAGACCCTGATGGCATTCAGTACAAATTACATGTGAACCAGGCTGCAGAATTCTGTGCCAGATGCTTGCATGATTTTACTTTAGATCTTCAGATGAACTCAATAAGAAAACTTTCTACTCTCCCACTCAGTGGTCATCAATAGGCAAGAAGAACAGGGCTAAGAACCATACCTCTTTCCTGTAGCAATAGAAGAAGGGTCCCTGCAACCGCAAAGCAAGAGAGGTTAGGAAATACCTAGTAGGCAACAGCCCCACCAGAAAGAAAATCGCTTTTCTAGGAAGTTGGTCTCAGGAAGGTTAGCAAGTCTATAGACTGGAGAAGGAATGGGAAGCTGTAGCCTCCAGATATTGCTGGACTATGATTCCCAGAAGTCACAGCCAGCATGGCCAACAGTGAATGCTGGGAGTTGTAGTCCAGCTGGAAGGATAAAAATTCCTCACCTCTTCGGGGCCTGCTGTCCCAGACCATTAGTAAAACCTCCTCCTTGAAATTTGGTAATAATGAATGTTATAAATATTTATAAAAATATTGTAAATAATCTGTAATGCGTGGTTTTGAAAAAGGTTCAAAAGCAAGCAAGCAGAAAGAAGGAATAGACATATTTCCGGTTGTTGCACATGATATTCTAAAAGTTAGAGGTTGCTTGGGGAAGAGAAAAGATTTTGGGACCCACTTCTCAAATTCCTCCCAGGTACTCCTGAAAGAAGAGCAAAGTAAAGGATTTTAGAGATGCTGCAGGAAACATAAGCCAATTATTTCAATGCCTGATTGTCCATTGAACAAGGTGAACCTCTCTGAAAAAAAAAAAAGAAATGCTTTCTTTGCCTGAATTCAGCTAATGGCTTGAGACAGGTCAACGTGCAAAGATAAAGGAGAGAGCTGAACATATACTTGCTCCTTACTTGCTGAGTATATCTGATGACGTCTTTCCAGGGTCCTCTTCCATTTGTTCCCTGAAAAGAAAAGAAGGAAAACGTAATCAGCTTTTGCCCAAAACATGAATTCTCCCTTGAAGTTTCTTCCTCACAACCACCTCAGCCTCACCAGAAATGAGAGACTTGACAAGCAGCTGGTAGAATAGGAAGAGATTCACAAGAATCTTTAGCCTGGGATAGGAAACCCACGGCACGCCCAGCCTTACTCTATTACAGCTTCCAAAATAGCTCATCATTGGCCATGCTTCCTACAGATACTGGGTGTAGTAATAGCCAGTATTATACAGGTATTCCTCAACTTACAACTGGTCACTTAGCAACTCTTCCAAGTTACGACCAACCCAATAAAGGAGACTTACAACCCAGATTCGAAGTTCAAATGGCTTCCTCTACAGTCACATGACCAAAATTTGGGCGCTCAGCAACATGGCTGCTTTTATGACCCCTTGAAGTGTCCCACGATCACACAGCCCCATTTCAATAACAATTTTGCTGAAAATCGGCACTTCTATGTTTTGGCAAAACTGTGCCCATAACAAACCATTGGTTCACTTAACAACCACAGCACTCGCTTTACAACCACGCAGAAAGGTTCAAAATTTGTGACCGACCCATTTTACAACTGCAATGGGCAGATTCCATTACGGTTGTATGTTGAGGGCTGTCTCTAGTGGTAATATCTAATAATATCCACAGGTTGCCTATTCATGGGCTCAACCAATCAGGAGTTGTTTCAGAAAATGAACTAATATGTTGAAACTATTTTAGTTGACATCTCTGTTTTTGGCACCTCAAACTCTTGGTTTCTGCTGTTTGGGGTATTCTACCGTAATTGGTCAGATGTGCTGGGACTTTGGCCATATTGGCGAGGAGTACTGGATGTTATAATCCTGATATATCTTACAAATGATAATTTAGGAAATGTTAATAAAAAGCAAAAATGATCCAGTCTACTGTTTCAACACCTTTCAAATATCAACAGAAGATTTCAGATTCCTTTTCAGTGCTCAGAACTGACTTGCTGATTCTTACCTATCAACATCAGTTTTCTCCAGCAGACACTGTAGGACGGCATCAAGACGGTTCCGGGCATTGGCTGTCTCAAGATCTGAGGATGACAAGAGATTGTTACTCCAGCATACAGCAAAGAGAGGAATTCATGATATATCTTTTTTTTTTTTAGGTTAACAATGAAGTTGCCTGGTTTTTTTCAGGTCTAGGAAACCCCCAAAGGTCTGTGGATTAACTGTCTTAAAAAGCTAAATAAATGCAATCAAAGCTGAAGAATGGGAACGGGAGAGAAGATGTTGGATAAAATCCAAAGCTTTGAATTTTTATAGCAGAACATTTCCGAGGCATCTTACCTGGTTTTTCTGTTTTGACTTTGGTGTGTAACATGTTTGTCGAGAATCGATTCCCTGCAGGAGTAAAAGAGGGAGGGGGATTTCAAATTCACATTTTGCAAAGGAGTTCAGGCATGACACAGGCACAAAAGACGATAGAGTCCAAAAATTAAGGGAAGAAAGACAAAGAAACTCAACTCCGCCTTGATTTTGCCTAACAGAAGGAACAAACTTGGACCAGTTTTCAAGATTCTGTTATTACAAGTAGTCTTTGACTTATGACCACATTTGAGATCAAAGTTTCCAGTTATTAAATGAGTTTTGCCCAATTTTCCAATCTTTTTGCCACAGTTGTTAAGCAAATTACTGCAGTGGTTAAGTGAATCATATGATCATTAAGTGAATCTGGCTTCCCCTTTGACTTTGCTTGTCAGTTTGATTACGTGACCATGGGGTTTCTGTAACGGCCATAAGTGTGAAAAATGGTCATGTCACTTTTTTCAGTGCTGTTCTAACTTCAAATGGTCTCTAAATGAATGCTTGTAAGTTGAGGATGACCTGTACATCTTATAAAAGTGTTTCTCAACCTCAGAAATTGTCAGATGTGTGGACTTCAATTCCCAGAATTCCCTAGCCAGTGTGGAAAGGCTGGCTGAGATATTCTGGGAATGGAAGTCCACACATCTGGAAAAGGCTAAGGTTGAAAAAGACTGCCATATAAGAGAAAGGGAAGAAAAAGCACAGTCAGACTTGTAAGGTTATTGTATTGAACCTATGTCAATACAATACTATATAGTTCTAGTCTTCCTGTAAAATTAGTTTGCTGGTCTGGTTTACCTTAAAGGGCTGACACATAATGACAAAAATAGTTCAGAAAGTTAAATCTACTGTATTCAAGAAATGACAGAAGCCACCCCATAAATGTGTTGATTACAAGCCTTTTCATCAAATTCACTTGGAGAAGGTCAGCTTGGGAGCAATTTCCTTAAAGTACCAAAAAAATAGTTCCTTCAGTCTGTTGCTAAAACAGGGGCAGAGGAAACGTTAAAGCAGAGAAACTTGCAAGTATTTTTTTTCCCTTTTCTTAAAGTTAGGACTCTTAAAGGCAGCTCCGCTCTAAAGTCAGGCGAGGCAGGTCAAAGGCCACCGGTGGTGTGAGTGACCTTCGGGATTGTTTTGGGAACTCCATCCCTTCCTGCCTTAAGCATGTTGTCTGAATCGGGCCATCCCAATTCATCCACCTTCTGGGCTCTTTGCATTACGGGAACAAAGCACCGGCGGTCTCTGGATGGGGTTAGCGTGTTCTGTGAACCCAGCCGGTGAGGACTTAAGAACTCTGGGCGCAGACAGGATTGACCGAGCTCGCATTAACTCTGCAGCTTGCATCCCGATCAGTCCTTCCCCCTCCGACATTTTTCCCCCTTCGGGGGAACCGCTTCTTCGTCGCTCGGGTTAAGCAGCGCCGAAAGCGAATTCCCGGCGGATCGGTTGCACCTCTATAGCAGACCCCGATCTCCGTTCTGCCCGATCGCGCAGCCACAGCCCAAGAGAAGACCCCCCCCCCCCGCATCGCTGTGCTTCCTCTTACTTTCGGTGGAAAGGAGCGATTCCAGCCCCCCCCAAAGGATCAGATGAAAGGCAAATCCTTGGGGAGGTCGCTGTTGTTTTGCTGTCGGCTCTCGGCTGGCTGGCTGGCTTCCTTCGTTTCCTAGCTTTGCACCCCGACGGCGCGCAACCCCAGACCCCTCCAACGAAAATCTGCCTCTTCTGGATCACTTGCCCGTTCGCACGAATGCAGAAAAACCGCCTCTGGTGCATTGCATGCTGGGAATGGTAGGCAGGGCGATTCCACCCAGTGACTGAGGCTGTTTTTCCGCCGCCCCCCCCCCCCCTTTGCGAATAGAAACAGCGCCTCTTGTGCAAGGATGGCGCTCATGTGAGCCATAGACAACTACTACTATTTTTTCTTGTCGCCTTAACAGAATAGTAGACTAACAGAGTTGGAAGGGATCTTGCAGGGCTTTCTAGTGCAAGCCCCTGCTCAAGCAGGAGACCCTACAACATTTCAAACAAACGGTTGTCCAACGTCTTCTTTAAAAGCTCCAGTGTTGGAGCACCCACAACTTCTGGAGGCAAGTCGTTCCACTGATTACTTGTTCTCACTGTCAGGAAATTTCTCCTTAGTTCTGGATTGCTTCTCTCTTTGATTAGTTTCCATCTATTGCTTCTTGTTCTGCCTTCAGGTGCTTTGGAGAATCGGTCGACCCCCCCCCCCCCTTCTTTGTGGCAGCCGCTTAGATTCTTTCCCTTCCCCAGCGTTGTTAGCATGGTGCTAACATCAAACTCTTGCAGAAGTTGGTCATATTGCATTGCGGACCCTTCAGAGTCCCACTACAGACTGAGCTTTGTGCATTTTAAAGACCAACAGTATGAACAACTTCTTCAAAGCTTTGATTCAGCATCCCGACAACACAGGGAAGCGAAGGGACAACTTCCTTAAACAATGTAGTCTTTAGCTCACATGAGCGTCATCCTTGCGCAAGAGGCGCTGTTTCCATTCGCAAAAGTCCCTCTCTTCTCAGTCTCTGTCTTGCTGATTCGAAAAGCTTTGCTTTTTCTACCGAAAGTCTTCCAAAAGACGTCAGATGCAGCTTCTCCATTAAAACTTGAACGCCAGTTGGATTTTGCTCGTTTAGATCTCAACCCAGATCACGTTTTCCTTCTAGCTCCCCCCCTCTCTCCCCCCAGGTGGTGCCAAGGTAGAACATCAACACAAGATCAACAAGGGCTCTAATTCATAGTACGTTTGCAAAGGAATATGACCAACGGTCACTTGCAATCTCTTACATTTTGTAGCCTTTGAACTTCACTCTTTGTCACCTTTTTTTAAAAAACACCCGATGAAGATGCACAGGTTGGATCTGGAATACCCGTGTAGTTTTTTTTGTAGGATTCCTTAGCCCTGTTGAAAACATGTGGTTTTGTGCATCTATTTTATTCACTTTAATTGCTTTGATCTACTCTCGTATTTCCGTAGTGAACGCAAAGCTTTAAAAGGCTGGCCCAGAGCATGGCGGGATTTGTAGTTCGCGCGCCAGGAGAGGCCTCCTTCCGTTGAGGCGGCCCACGGCACGCAATCCTTTCTGGGAACTGTAGTCCTGGAACCTGCTCTGTCATGGCCGGGGAAAAAGGGAGCCGCTTGTTTACCCGACATCCTGTGCGTGCAGGGACCGCCTCTTTTCCTGTTGCTAAGCGACCATAAAGGCGGTAAGTTTATCCTGGGGTGAGCGGGAAGAACTGCGTGGGGTGGGGGGCTGCCGAAAGTGAGAGTTGTGGGGGTTCGGGTCTGGGGCGAGAAGGGCTGGGGTGGCACCCCCGACGGCGGTGTTACTGCACCGAATCTGGAGTGGCTCGTAGACCCTTCCCTGGGCAGGAAGGACGATACTTCCTATCCTCCCCATCCAGCGCAGGCATGAGTGACGTTGCCTGGGAATGATGGGAACTGCCGTCCCGCTCGGGAAGGCCCCAAGTCAAGGAAAGCCGTGGGAATACGACCATTGTTGTGGAAAAAATGGGAGGCAGGAGTCTTTATTTTTACCCTGCCTTTAAACCACTCAAGGCCAAGAGCATGGCTAATACTCCTTCATCCTCCTACTCTTCCCCCCCCAACAACAACTTTGTTAGGGGAGTTGGGTTGAAAGAATCACTGTCATGCCTATGGTGGGACTCAAACTCAAGACTCCGGGTTCCTAGCCTGATGCCTTGACCACTAGACCATAATTGTCCAACCTGTTTGCTTGCCTGGGCTGCATTGAATGAAGAGGAATTGTCTTGGGCTACTGTATTTATAGTTAATATAAATAACACCCTTTATTTTTTTTAATAAAGTTTCCTGCTTGAGCAGGGGTTACACTAGAAGACCTCCAAGGTCACTCCCAACTCTTATTCTAATTTTTTAAAATTAACTTGTGGGGATGCGTTACTAGCTATCCAGGGCCACATGCTGCCTGTTGGCTGTAGGTTGGACATGCCTGTACTAGATCAAAGTGGCTTGTAGGTATGTTCATTATCTTGAATTACATATAAAAAGTGGGATAAAAGCATCATCATAATCCTGCCTCCTTAAGGTTACATTTGGTTAGAATAAACCCCATTAAAGGGAATTGAGCCTTGCTTCAGGACTTGGTTGGACAGGAAATATGCATGAGTCATGATTCAGAATTTGCCTCTGATCTTTGAGTTTGTTGTTCCAGCTGACTGTGATTCAAGATCAGTAAGCCAGGATTCAATTGAGGCTGATCAGCCACAGGTATATCATTCAGCTGGAGCAGTCAGATGAAGGAGGCACAAGTCCCAGATCTAAATGCCTACAGAAATGAGCAGAACAATGTTCCTCAATGAGACTGCTCACTAGACAGGTGAAGCATGAGTAATTGCAGCCAGCTGTCAGCAGACAGATTTAGGTAGTTGCTTTACTTGCAGTCTTTATTGGAAATAACTCTTTGGCTTTCCAGCTGATGATGATTGTTCCTGCTTTATTCTCCAGTTCTAATATATATATAACTCTATTCTTTACTTCAAATGCTATCTACACCTCTTAAGTGTTCACAGGTATGATGCTAGATTAGGCCATTTACCTTTTTTGCCTCTTAATTCTTTCCTTCATACCTTGAATGATTTATTGGTTTTTGTATCGCAGCCAATGACAATATCTGAAAGCTAAGTAGGGTTGGAGCTGCCTAGTACTTGGGTGAGAAATCTTCAAGAAATACTAGTGCTGTAAATAGAGAGGTAGGGAAAACATAACGGAGACAGCAATAGCTTCCATCTTTTTGCCACAAAGCCTATATCAGGGGTCTTTAAACTTAGCCCTTTTATGACTTGTGGTCTTCAACTCCCAAAATTCCTCAGCCAATCATGCTGGCTGAGAAATTCTGGGAATTGAAGTCCACAAGTCATAAAAGGGCCACGTTTGAAGACCCCTGGCCTATATGAACGTGTTTGTCCAGCTTTCTTGTGCTTCTTGTAAAAGTTTCCTCTATAGACATAAGTATTTTGATTTGTTTTAATATGATGAAAACATTCATCTGTAATCTTTGTAGATAAAGTTGCTATAAAAATAAGCCAAGCACTGGGTTTGTGGGTTTTTGATCAATGTTGTCTCAAATTGGGACTTGCTAACCCCAACTCTAAAACCTGTTGTCCAGGAAGATTACAAAATCTTGATTAAGCCGGTTGCTGGCCTGAAGAATTTAAAGATTAGAAGAATTTAAAATTATGGCATGTTTAGTATTTTTTTTAACCTGCTCTGAATTTTAAAACTGGTCAATATTAGCATAATGGTGGTATGTTGAATTTATTTTATTTGTAAAATTTATTGGCCACCCATCTTACCGCAGGGTAACTCTAGTCTAGACATTACTTTTAACAATGTCCGTATAAAGTTCTCTTGTATTTTAAGTTTTGAATTCCTCATAGCAGGGACTCGGAACTATATAGATTAAATTTGCAACAAGATGATTTCTTTCAGAGGTTCCTAATTTGTTTTTTTGGTAGCATTTGTTTTGGTGGGTTTAGATCATGTTCATCTCTGAACCTAATATAATTGAGCAGCTTTTTGTAACTTTCCCAGTTATCCAGAAATCATAAATAACTTGGAGATGCAGTGATTAAAAATATTTCATTGAGTGATTTTTTTTAAATGTTATCCTCATAACATCCCAGGTTAAGTTATGTGACAAAAGAATCTAGTTCTGTTCCCTTTGCTAATGGTTGCTAGCTTTTCTGTATGTAAGAAGTATTTATACACACAAGCAGTGCAGGTTTCCATTGCTTTGAGTTTAACTTGGAGTAGAGATGATCTCTGAACAGGGCATTCAGTGGAAGGTATGCTGATATTACATGCATAATATAAATTATATTAATTTGCATCATTCCCATCATGGCTGAAATGTCATGCAGTATGTGCCCTTTGCCTTCCTCCCCTCGCAGATGCTCTGAAATCTTGTTGCACTAATTACAGAGTTGTTTATATTCCTAGGAGCCTGTATAGGACAACTGTCTTCAAGTTTATCTTTTTGCAACAGTAGTCCATTGTTGCATTCAAAATAGCTGTCACTTGGACATTAAGTAATAATTCTGAACCTTTCTGGACATTTGGCCTTTTAAAAGGTCAAGCTGATGAAGTGGAGATTCAGAGGCTATATTTCTGTTCTTAGTACAAATTGCTAATTGAAGCCATCTTGTAAGTACTGTAGTCATATTCCACTGGTAAATTGGAAGTGTTTCTTTTCAGGCTATTTTGCTTACAAATATACTTTTGAAACCTTACATGCTAGACTGGGCTAAGCCCCCCTCCCCCACCCGCTTGTCAATCCTTCTCATCATTTCTGGGAATACACAAATACCTCTTTCATCAATACAGCAGCTTTAAATGAGCCCAGTGGATTTAGATTTTATATGATGCCCTATATAAATGCTTTTGTATCTGCTGCATCATAATGCTAATTAACTAGGATGAATACATTTGGACTATTGTAAACAACTCTTGGGTTTATTGAAATGGAAATCCAACTTGCATGTCTTTGAAGCATCCAAGTAACCATTTGGCTTTCAAGTGGAAGAAAGCAGCATAGCATTATCTCCTTGATTCATTAACTTGGTCTGTAAAATTGAAAAATGCAAGCAGATTCAGTGTTACTCACATTTAATTGTCAAGGAAAATTTTAAATCCTGATTTAACTAAAAAAAAATTGCAAATGACTTTATACTTGTATGTTTATAAAAATAATGGTTC